TGAGCAGCAGAAAATGGCCGGACTTGGGCATATCAAACTTGAAACCGGTCATCTCTTTTCTGCACACAAAGCATACATAGGTTAGGTGTGAAAGCGACAAGGTTATAATTGCATACAAGCTCAAACTTGTACCAAATGTGTCACTTAAACAAAATACTCGAACGCGAAAAGCTGCCGAATAACAAACGCAACAATTTTTTCTCATGAAAGTTCGTACAAATGTTTTTAATTTATTAGTTAGTTGAAAATTTATCCCCTCAGTTTTAGGAATTTAAATATACTATAGCATAAGGAGCTAATTGATTATTTTCGTAGCTCTTTCTCCGTCCTCCACCGAGGCGGCATTCAATTTTACCTCGATTTTTACACCTTTAAGCCTAGAAATATCAAGGACGTCTAAAAAAAGAAACACAATTTAATTTTGGTCATGTCTTAACATGTATATATGAAATACCATTTTTGTCGCATATTTACAACCGTTACCTGCCTTTTCTTTGTAATGCTGTTTGTCACAAAATGTCAATTCAAGGGCGACAAAGGGTATTTATGACTTGTTTTTTTATCTTAAAATACTCATTTGTAAGTTGGCGAGATATTGCATATGTAACTAGTATTTTTGATGCTAGTCTTGTTTTTCGCACACGCTAATATTCTCGGCTGTTCAAAACAACAAAATGTGATGTTTTTCAAGTGGCTAAATTACGTTACATCCGATTTACCTGCCGCGCTGTTTACGCTTCGTTCATTGGTCATTTTCCTTAGAGCCAGCCTTAAATCGTTAATCACCAATGCTACCTACATATTTATTTTGCACGCAGCATCAGGATATTCTGAAAACAACAGGATCTTCTTAAATGCCTGGCAATGTCGCTACAAAAATCAGTGCTAATACGGTTAACGAGCTGTCATGAGTTAGGTGCGGAAGATCGCAGTGGTTCTTTTAATTTGCTGCTTTAATTAATCGCTAGCGATAATGCCAAACTGCGGAAAAGAATCATCGATCGATACATCAGCGCTGAAAATTGTAGCGGAAGAAACCGAAGCAGAAATTGTATACCTTCATAAAAAGTTTGATAAAGGCCGTCGCGATTCAGTTACTTACAGTAGTGGTACGCGTACGCCATCGCCAGACAATTTTGAGACAGTTACTTGTTTAAGTAACAATGGCGCCAATATACCACCATCTCCTACAGAATGTGCAGCAACCGTTGCCAAATCAATCGTGAAGTGGAACAGTGGAGGCAATTCAGCAGCAAAGGAAAATATTTTCATTACAATTAGTGATGATTCGGATTCATCGAATGACTCGATTACGACTACGATTTCCACAACTATTGAAGTAGAAGAGCAACCTTTTCGTAGTATTAAGCGCCGATTGAGATGTCAATCTACGTCATCGCGTTTTGCGAAAATTATGAGATATCTTACCTCGAAAGAGTCGGACTTTTAAATGAATTAATAATACTAATATAGTGACGCATCGCACAATGTTCTAGTGTTGGGCCGAGTTTCTCCTCCGATTTGTGGCGTGTGCCTTGATGTTGTCGTACAAAAGGGAGGCACCTGCAGTTCTACGTCGATTTATATGAAAAGCTGTTTTTCATGGCCTGCCGAGGAGCGACCGCTATTAGAAAAAACATTTTTGTTTTATTTTTTTATGTTGGTCGGAAATTGGGCTTGAGCCCAGGCTCTGCGGAATGGTAGCGCGCACTGCTAACCATTAATGACTTTAATAACATAATATTATTAAAATATCAAAATTT